TTTTGTCACATTTTTTAAGGACGCAATTCATTATTCGCATAATTTTATGACACATCATAATGACAACCTCGGGATTCTTCCGTTTTATATAAAAATTATTTTAAATTTTTTATAAGTAACTGTGAAGAGATAGTAAAGGAAAAAAAGCTTTTGGTAAAACGTTTGTCATATTTATTTATATATAAATAAAAACATATCCATGTTAATATATAATAATCTACACATTATATACACCTATGTAATAACATTTATATTTTAAGGAATTTAATTAGAAAATGCTGAATTAAGATATTTTATCATACGAACAAATGCGAGTTTATAAATATTTATTTTCTATCAACACGAGTGGTCTATATTTTTAAGGCATATATTTAGGATGTTCGCAATGGCTCATGATTTTTCCTTCCTACTATAGCATAATATTTAAATCCTTTATTGAATTATTTGAATTAGTTTTTGCCAGAATAGAATGGGGAGCAAAAGTCGACCGGCTTTGCAAAAAGATCTGCTCTTCTGAACTGGAAAAGTTCACTCCATTGTGACACGCGAAGTTTTTCGCAATTTTGGAATAATAATTCTTTAGCCTGCAAGAATTAGATCCATTATGGCACCAACATTTATTTCCAAACGAACGAAACGAAAATCATTTAGGCCCAAAAAATTAGACCCATTGTGATACCACACATTACATACATGGTCTCCAAATTAATATTGTATTGGAAAAACAAAACACTTTCTTAATTTAATAAAGCAATCAACACTTTTAATGCCTTGTATAGGCATCATTGATATCGGAGAGAGCCGTTATAGGTAAAACGACCCCAGAGTGGAAATGGGTTCAGCGAAATGGGATCGCTGAACAGTAACAGAGTAATAGATAACACTTTTTTTTTCTTCTTCTGTTCCACAACTAAGACAGTAGTCGTTTTAATGAGTCTCTCGTCGGTCATCAAGCATATTAATGGCACCGATTAGGTACTTAGTATGCTGTCAGTTTGATAATTGTGGCACCGATTAGGTACTTAGTATGCTGTCAATATAATAATTGTAGCGGATATCAAGTCAAGACCCAGTCTTAAGAGTTGTTAAATTCTTTTTCGGTCATAGGCGAACCATTTATATAGTTCGATAAGTCTGCATAATATTCTTTATATTTGGTATGCAATTTTTTAATATTAATAATATATAATCACCTTTTAGTAGAAGTAGTGCTAGCTTTATATAAAAGAATTCATTCTTTAATTTCTTGTATTTCAATGAAATTTATGAATTGGTTCTACTATATATATTGTGTTAAGCTTACAGCTATGGAAAGTTAGTCGTCTGCCTTTTTCTTCTTGGCGAAATTTGTTGAGACACAATTTTAATAACAGAGTTTTGATAGCCAGACCAGGGCCATGAAAATTGGCAAAACTCAATAGTATATCACAATAAACGATTAAATTTTTCTGAATTTGTATATTTGTGTGTCCAAACCTCCAGTTATTTACTAAGTGGAGCTTTGTTACTGTCGTGGCTGTATAACCATCTTCAGGATTATGTTCTTTTTGTTCTATCGTATCTCAGGTGCCTAGCCTTTACAGAGTCCGGGTATTGTCGTTGGGCAATGCAACGTGGGCCATAACCATTGAAATGGTTATGAAGCTATGACAGTGAGAGAGCTTCAGTTGCGAAATAAGTGGAAGTTTGGACTTGTGAATTAGCAAATTCAGATTGACGTTTTAATATAACAATACTATATTACCAAATAACCACATAATTTATTAAAAATATTTAATATAATTTATTAATATTAGGGATATTATTAAATATTCTTTATATTGACAATATTTAGTTATATTTATGTATCCGTTCAGTATATTTTAAATTTTAAAAAATATTAAAATTAAGGATATTTTTGAAGGATAAGTAAGTTGATTACATATATTGTGCATACAATGACATTGCTGCCGATGTAGATATAGAAGTAATTTAAATAATATAGTTCTAAAATTACATAGAGATAGAAGTAATAAAAAATTTTTACTATCTTAGAATTGTAAATATAAATACTAAAATGGAAACATGTGCATAAAAACTATTTACATATTTAAATATGAGAAAGACCAAAAGAAGCTATATTAAAACTGAACTCGTGCTCAATTTAATGACCATTTCATAGATGCATTTGCTTAATGAAATTATAAAACTAACTGACCTCGCCAAAAAAAAAAAGGAATTGAAGATTATTTATCATAATTATAAAAGAAGAAAGACTCACAATTATCCGAGTACTACTGCAGTCAGGTTTTTTTTTTAACATTTTTCTTATCATAATTACAAAAGGTCACAATAAAAATGGAAACGAAACTATCTACCTGTGCTCTATTTACGGATTTGAATGGACTTGTACAACAAAATGTTAACATTTCAACGAATTCTGGTGCGATTTTCTAACCTGATACTGTCCACACCCGCCTCATGCGAGTATACGACAGCTGCTGTCTGAAGTCTTACGCATGGACGGACGCACAAGCGGACAGTGGCAATCGGTCGAATCGTTGGCGACCGTAAGTAGATGGCCAAAACACTTAAGCCGTTTGGTTTTGGCATTTAACAAACATCATTTATTATTGCATAATGTATAGTTAGGATATTCTCGGTTGACTTACTCAAGCTAACTATGCTATGAATACGTAAATTTTAATCATAATATGTAAACTACATACATGTATATACATATATATATATTTATGTACACTTGTGATTATATACATATGAATTTATTTATGTATAAGCGGGTAGGTATAGCAGAGGCCTAATGTGTTTAAGTGCACATATTTCAAAGTGCCGTTTTGATAGCGTACAATTATTGTAATGACTTAATTTCATTAAGTGAAAGATGCCTCATAGCTCAGTTGAAGAACTTACTTAGTTGTCAGTATACGATTATTAGGAGTTAGACTGAAAGCCAAGCATATTAGAACAGAGTCGCACCTTAAAAGGATTAGAATATTGAAACTGCTTTCAAATAAAAGTGTATGCATATTCAAGGGAAGCATAATCGTTAATAAACATAGTATTAACACTTTAAATATAGATAACATTCAAAGAAATTAGTGGAACCACTTTTATCTTCTTCTCTTTTGCATTTAGATAGACTTCTGTGGAGGAGCTTATTAACCCTGCGGCACGTATCTATAATACTATTGATTTCTATTCTATTAAATAGAGACTCATGCAATAAAAGTTACCCAGTTTACACAATAAATATTACCTTCTGGGGTACTAACTTAAGAGAAGAGAAGAGACTTAACTCAAGAAAAATTTAATTTTGACTTATAGCAAGGCGATTTGATCTTTTTAGTCGTAAGCATTACTTCAAAAAAATCTAGCTCTCGATGTTTAACATTTTATCTTACGTCTCGTAGATCCTAACTTGAAAAAGATTATATGAGAATATATGTTCAGGCTCCCACTGTCACAATATCTAATGTTTTGTGCTGCTTACCGATCTTTTTGAAACATAATCCATTTTGTCTTTCGAAGCAACATCATTGTTTGAGGGCATCCAAATACCAAACGGGTATAAAAACTCTCTGCCAAGTAATAACCTCTTGACCTAGATTAATGTCACATTGCAAAAAGAATATGACTAGAAATCTTACCTGTTTCCAAACTGGAAAATCATGTAAGGCTCTTATACGCCTCCAAGAAGGAAATTTTCAATCCATTAACCACGGGATGTTTTATTGAAGAGAGTCGCATTATTAGCATTCTAAAGGTAACCCAGTTCTTAAGCCAGACGATTATCTGAATTGATGAGATGTCATTTTCCTCAAACAGACCTGTCTTGTGAAGATAAAACAGTTTCATTGACATTCGACAGATAATCTTCCAACAATCACAGCTCTTTTCTACTGAAGATAGACGCATTGTGATAGTTGGCTGTGACGTCAATTATCACACTATAGTACTTCTTTCGACCACTAACTTTTTCCATAATAAAGCATTGATCCAAAAATTGGCTGAATGTTAAATGATTGGAAGCTGGATGGAAATTAAATAACCGATACAACCCTCACTATATTATCCGCCGACTTTTTGTCATTAGTTCCTATGTGACCAGACCAGATACCTCTAAAGAACTAACCTACTTCTGCTTCCCAGTTATCGCAGCAGGTTACAGCAGTTTACACAAATTCTCAAAGAGACTGTAAATAGGCCAATGCTTTGATTACACCCTGACTTTATGGATATATGCATATATGGATGCTATTCAACCTTTAAGTGAGGTAAACTCGAAAGCAGGACTGTGAAAGTATATTTCCATACAAACAGTTTACTAACCTGAACAAGTTGACAAGTTGGTATTATATATAAGCGTGAGAGTTTAAGTTTGGTTTTTATAGTTAAAGTACCTCAATGCTTCCTCTTGCACTACAACACTGTTTTCACGCTGAAATATTATATATGCAATATTCGACACAACTATACATATTAAAATAATTTATTAAAAATAATAATAAATTCAAAACAAAAATGTGTTTTGTTGATTAGTATTGTTATAAGAGTTTTTACGCACTCTGCACAATGGCACTGGACAATGGAAAAGTGCGTTCAATTAACGAAATGTCCATGCAAATGTGTATTTAAGCTGCCTGGGCTAATGAGTTCATCAGACGGTTTTGTAGGTTGAACTGCCCTTCAAAATTTTTGACTTTCGGTTCATTTACATAAAGTCACAAAACACTACTAGAAGCCGCCTACTAACCAAGAGAAACAGTGTCGGATGAATACGCGTAACACTGTAACATAGAGTGGAAACCTCATTATGCCAAAATCAAGAAGGGAAACAATAGAACTGTGCGGGTGTTTTGTAGACCGTTAAGTTTTCATATTTCAACACGTAAATTTATAA